AATGAATGCTTCACAATGTGTCATAAATACTGTAAACTGTACTACATCTTAATATGGTCATCAAAGTCTGATGCCATCATAACATAACATGAAAGATTAGAAGCATTTAAGAAAACATGTTAAATAAAAGAATCATCTATTAATATGAGCTAATGGTTGCTATCGGGAAGAGTAGAATGATACAAAAATTTGTTAGCTGCAGTGCGACAGTCTCCAATATGGGTGAAATGTTAACATTGATTAACTCCTGATTTTTTTTTTTTCTTCCTTCTCTCACAAGCTGCATATGGGGTGTCCAGTTTTTACTTTCACATGCAACATGGTGTCTCAAAGGATGAATTCAAAGTAAAAACAAAAAAACAAAACAAAAAACACAAAGAGAAATGTTTATCCTTACCACCTCTGAACCAATTTTATCATTACGTGTTTAGAGGATGAACGAGGCCGTAGATAACTGAATGTAAAAGGAGACAAAGGCATAAAAAAAAACATTCAGCACACAAGATAGTGCCTATTACTTGTGCAGCAACTTATACAACATATTATCTTTTGTGTGCATTAATATGGGCTGGACAAGGATTAGCTGACCAACCAAAGCAGCTTGCTTACATTGGCTCAATATGAAAGCATTTTGCTAGCAAAGTAGCAATGTTCCCATAGCACCCTAAAAGAGCACCTCGCACTGCTTGCTAAGAACTTCACAAGGAACGTCTTGCACAGGACAGACCAACATTGTAAAATCTCTAAAGTCATGCTAAACTGTAAAAATCATAGCGGCTATAGTTCCTGGTAAAAACAAACATTACGTGGTATAAAATATGACAAGCTTGTCACCTGAGGTATAACAAACCGAGTCTGTTTGAAAATAACCAGGCTATAATTTGAATTAAACAGCAACTATCACAAGGGATCCCTTTTAATTTGAATTGAGAAAAATAAATAAATGGATGTCAACACCAGGGAAACAGTCTACTGAAGTTATGAAATGAAAAAAGTAAAAATTTGACTTCGAACGGCCAGTTCGTGATGTCGTGGAGCAAGCTTTTTTCTTTTTAAGACATCCTGCCTGATAACATTTGACAATGTCACTGGCAGGCAGAGTGAAGAGTTGGCCAACTTAGAGAAAGATGAGAAATGAGTCATTTTAAAACAATAAATATGATAATGCACATTTCAGGACATTCTTTTTCTGAGACAGCGTTGCTGCGCACACAAAAACTGCAACAAAAAGTTGGCTAACAAATAGCAGGAGAGTTGGAGGGAATCAGACTTCCTCCAATCTCCACACAGCTGGTCAAGTGCTGTGTTAAAGAGGTTGTGAATAGGAAATAGTTGCTTTTTTTACAAAGAAGGATTAATAAAGATGATTGCATCACATATTTTAAAACAACGTAGAGGTGAAGGAGCTGTTCAGTGCAATTTGACTATCATATGTGCAGTTCAGACTAACTGTGAAATAAATGTTGCCTAAAGCACATTTTCTGCTGCTTTTAAAAAAAACCATCCCACCTAATTTGTGAAATCTGACTCAACAGCTAAACCAAAAAGTATACCTCATTTCTAAGTTTAAGCACAGTTTTCATTTGTTTTTATTTATTTATTTTTTAATAACAACATTTGCAGGCTTCACTTAAAACCACAGGCATACTTGGGAAACCAGTTGAGGCCGAGATGCTCCGTCTTTGAGAAAAGAATCCTGTCGTATAGCTCATACAGCGGTCTCCATGGCAACTCAAGGTCCTCCCTTGACAGGAGTTCTCGTTTCCTGTTAAGATGAAGATGACATATGTATAGAAATTGAGAAACACGCAAAAGCTACCTGATCATGCAGTCTTCACCAGACAAATCATCACTGGTGAGCATACGGCATGTTTAAATGTAACTTCACTCTTGGAGAAACCAAAAACACATCTGTACAAGTTGTTGAGTAAACCAGACAGGAACCAATCTTACTTGAGGAGGTTAATAAGAAGCCGAGCAAGGCCCTGCATCATGCTGATCTCCAGTTTGGGTATCATCACTAGCTCGTAGAGCAACTTGATAAACAGCACATGGTCTTCTTTGCTGAATTTGCGCCCATACAGTCTCATGTACCTTAAGGAGAAGAGAATGTGGGAAAATGACTCCAGTTTCAGGACAGATAATAAGAGGTCAAAAGTGTTTACATGCATAAGACACAGGAATGTAATGAACTTGGTAATCAATATAATCAATATAATTTAAGAAAAGTCATATTTAAAATAAATACTACACTTGAATAAAGCTTGTAGACAATTTAAAATGAAAATGTTTTTTTAATCAATCTTTAAGTGCAAAAATACTGGTAAACCGAATCTGGGTCAGCATAACAGTCAACTTTCCGTTTGCCTGATCCGGCAGTGAGTCACTCCTGAAAAGTGCAATGAGCCAGCTTTTGGGACTGAAACGGATTAAAGCAGGCCTGCAACCACGTACAACAACATCAAACAGCATAATGTAATCAACTATCCATACCGACAATATTTTTTTGCTGGTGAAATCTGGGGGTTAAATGTTAAATGTCATGTTTATGCACTGTACTGAGTTAAGTAAGACCATATATGTCCTCACCTGAAGAGCTTGGCACAAACATTCAACAGAAAGCCACGTGGACCACTGAAACATGATCTGAAACTATTATAATGCATATCAAAAGGTGGTTATGCACAAGGGCCGCCTTTGAGGCAGCTTGACAGGAAACCATAAAATTTAAATTTTGCGATATCTGGTGAGCCGTCATCTGACTCGCTGCTTCAAAATAAAAATGTCAGCTGCAGAACAGCAATTAAATGACCCACTACTGTGCCGCTCTGTCTGGGTCAGGTTGTGTATTTGACACTGGCCTGATTATGAAACCCGTAGCGTCCCTAATCAGATGCCCGACAGACTGTAGCTACCGGGCATTCAAAGCTGTGTAGCGTTTTATAAGTAATTAAGCACAGCAGGCCGTGAGGAAACGACCGTGTTTCGTAAAACACGCAAAACAAATCAAAGTTTTCGGTTTGACTGATCAGTGTGCGCACAGTTCCTACAAAACACTTCGGCGTATTATTTAATAAACACACCGCATTTTACACTTTACGAGTTACAGTGGTAAAATATATGTTGTTTGCGTTACTTCTCAATAGGCTCAATGTTGCAAACATTACCAAGTGAGCAACAACTGTTACATTAGGACATTAGAGATTAGTGTTACTTACGTAGAAAGTTTCCTCGTCCAAAACAGGACACCGGGCCATATCTCTCGAAGCTGAACAGCTCGGCCCAAGTTTCCTTTTATCTTACTCAAAATATCATTGGATTCAGCGTCTAGCCTGTCCGCGTACGGCAGAAGTTTGTTGTATACGATGTCTTTTTGAGGAATAAAATCCAATGTGTCAGGCTGTGTCTTTTTCATTCTACGGGTTAAAACTAGCTAGCTTCACTAGCACTACTTTAACTTCGTTTCGATTTTCACTTCACGCTGTAATGCTACCCGGCTAATACAACGGCTAGTTAGCTACACTCTCCAATGAATAAGGTTATTATGGCCCGCACAGTGACTAAGTTATAACATTCACAAGTTGATGACACGGTAGCTAGCCATCTAGCTTAAGTTAAATTAGCTTCCTTTAGCCGAAAACATCATCAGCGTCATCTTATAAAGATATTAAGGCGGACGAATTGTACAACTTTGTTCAAAAATGCCTTGGCACTGGAAATTCTCTCTTTCGGCTAACGCACTCCTAAAGACCTGACAGCCAGCTAACGGTCTAGCTAAAGTTAGCGGCGTACTACAAAAGCACTGTCATATCCCATTGACTGTCAACGTCGACTGATTCATCCAACTACAGCAAAGGAGACTGCGGACGACACCCAGCTACCCGCTGCACAACACATGCGTCATATCCGCTACCTCAAAGGGAGAACTACGATTCCCAGCAACCCCCATTTCCGTTAGTTATTTTTATAAACTGTTAGCAAACAGGATGACTCGAAATCCACTTAAGACTTCTTGTCCTCTGATGTCTTCTACTGCAGAAATTGGTTCTTCGTTTCGCCATGAAGAACTTTCTTTTTACAGAACACTTTAGGCACAAGGCTGCAATGTGAAGTCCAACAAAAGCATTAATAAAAGTGATATTATTATTATTATTATGTATGCTTTTATTTTGCTTTAAAAATGCTTAAAGTGAACTTACTTAAGCAGACTGAATATGCCACTGAGCATAGTGTCACTGTTTATCAGTTTATCATTGGCTAACTTGCTTTCTTTGCAAAGTTGAATTTGTAACGAGCTTATTTACAGATGTAATCGGACTGTGTTTTTATTGTATTTTTTTATGCAATTAGCTTGAACATCTTTTTTTCTCTCTGATGGAATCATTTTTTCTGTGGGTCCCCAGCAACTTGAAATCCTTGTAAAAACTTATAATAAAATAAAATCCTGCGCATACTACTACTAATACTACAACTAACAATAATATAAAATATTTAATATAAAATTATTTATAGCTTAATGATGATGAGCAACATTAACAATATAAACACAAGCTCAAAATAACCTTGTAATCAATAATGCCACCTAAGTTTTCATATTTAAATTTAATTAAGTAACTCTGTTGTATAAATATATGTTAGATTGTGACTCAAATCACTCTCTATTTTTTTAAACAGAAAGAAGCACACAATCTAACGGGGACTACCATCTTGCGGTCAAATGGTGAAGTACAAGTACGGATGGTTTATTGTAGAAGCTCCACTCTAACCCTAATTCCAAATACTTCTGGAGTTGGATGCAAAAGCTACATAAACTGGGCAAAGCGTACAGTTTTGATGATCGAAATGTTGCGTGAAGACATTTTTAAAACAACAAACGTGATTAAAGCACGTGAGAGAACAAAACCAGGAATCAGTGCGTGTTTGCGTGCCTAGCATTAGTATTACGACTTGAGTGAAGCGCTGCTACATAGACGATCTTTTGTTCGGTGTCATAGCAACGATCAACATTTCTAAAGCGATTAAAGTGTCGACGAGCACGGACAGTTAATAATAACGACAGGAACTGTATGAGTACGCACACACAGTTACTAATGACGCTCCACGTACTTTTTCCAGGAGATCATTAGCGTTACGATCGTAACACAGCAGGCGGAGGGTCGTGTCACGGTGTTAGCCTGTGACAGATGGCAAAGATGCTGACTGAAAAGCTCAGTTTGACTTGTGACAGACTCCTGTCACACCGGCAGCTCGCATGCTGTTACTCTTATTTTAGCATACCACAGCACGGCAAGGAAGTGCTCGTTTACAGCACAAGGGACGGACAGCAGAAGGTTTGTTAGTTTTTAAGTAATTTGTTCGTGTCTGCACCATGGTCCGCACTCTGGCTACAGAGCGTCAGAACAATTTAATACATCTAAAAAAAATCATATATATACAAAAATGTCATTAAAAAGTATTTGTTTGAATGTTTGACCCACAGACATGGATTCCTACTGAAATGCTGCAGCGAAGTTTACAATAAATACCAGATTTGCACGTTAGATTTAGCATATCATGGCAAACTAAACAAACAGTTCATCTGCATTCAGACAACTTTCTTTTTCGTTTCTTAATTCACACGTGCCATGACCGCGAAACAAGCCACGCGTGGACAGATTGCTCTTCCTCTTACATGAAGGACTTTATTGTCATTTTGTCAGCCAGTTTGTTTCAAGGTGAACTAATCTGGAAGAAACAGTGTCACTAACCTAAAAAGGCCAGCAGGTGGCTGTTTAACCTCTCTTTCTTACACATTTACTAGCCCTGGGCCAGATTATGTGGATTCCAGCATAGTACATTTAAAAATGGCAAAACCGGTGAAACCTTTATGCACAGACAGGCAAACAAACTTTTATACATTATCCACTCATCTTTTATATATTTTAATGTTGCATTTAGTCACAATCACAAATGGCCTGGTGTTTTTGTCAGACAGTAGGGAACCTACTAAATAGATCTTTTTTTAAAAATGTGCTAGAGTCAAGGTCATGTTTGTCACTTTACAGGCGATTAGCTGTGAATTGTAATGGATTGTGAGATACATGAGCTGCTATGTCATTGACCTTCTTGACCATTGACCATTCATGCTTTACTAAACTATTTTTTTTTCATAGCCCCTCATACTAACTGGTCACCATGGTGACATCAGTGCCCTTACTTTTGGAAAAAGAAGCAGTCCTGTTATCCTCTGCTCCGCCTCTGCTGATTACGTCATTGTCTGGGATATTGAATTGTGCCAGAAGAGAACACAGGAGGGTAAAGATACATAGTTCTGTGTGTTTGACCCTGAATTGTTGCATGCTGTGAGCAGTGCTCTGCAGTAAAGCGTTTCTCCATCCCAAATCACACACATTTTTTCCCATTATAGAGCTCTGTTTTGCAATGTTGCGGAGCCACTTTAGCACACGCTTCATATCACATGATGTAGTGAAAATGATCATTTTCCTGAGTTAAGTTTAAATGTAAGCAGACAAGCATTTTGGTTTGCAGGTAAAGTTGCAGCTGGAACAGTTATCGGGACTTTGCTGGGGGAGGTTGTTCATCTTTCATTTTGTTTCTCTGATGCACGAGTGGCTGCATGCACGGGAGCAACTGCATGTATTCTCAGCTCAAAGGTACCAGATGATCATGCTGCACGTCTTCCACTTGGTCAATGTATTTAAGCTAAAGGGTTGTAAATGGACTGGTTTTTATACTTTCTACTCTACCTGATCACTCACAGCACTTTTAAAACATGTGCCTCATTCAACAATTCACATTCACATTCATACAACCACTTTTTTCTATGCTCTGTCTAACATTCATACACATTTACACTCTGATGGATGCAGAGAGCAACTTGAGGTTAAGATCTTGCGCAAGGATATTTTGCATGCAAGCTGGAGCAGCCAGGGATTAAACCTGATTTTAAGATTAGTAGATGACCTGCTCTGCCTGCTGAGCTACAGTCACCTCATTGACTTTTTAAAAAATATTTACTACAAGACAGTAATCACCACTTGTTCTTACTCAAGTTTTACGGTTGTTTTTTCCACATCAGAGACCAGAAACGATCCATACCTTGACGGGCCACCTGGGACCTGTAACATCAGCAGAGTTCTGCCCCTGGAATAACAATATCCTCGTCACCACATCAGAAGACCGCACCTTTAGGGTATTACTTTAAATTTTACACTTTTTATTTAGCCACAGTGATGTGTAATGGTTTAGAAAAACAAATTGTGCACACCTTACTTGGACTTTTAGCTTTTTACTTTTGTCTCGTCAGGTGTGGGATTTAAAAACTGAAGCTGTTTTCTTCCAGTCGTTTGTGCTTTCAGGTATGACGTAAATATTTTAAATCATGTTGGTGAAGCGGTAAACATTCATTCTTTTGAGCTTGGCCCCTTTAGCCTGCAATACTCTTATTCACTTTGTACAGTAGAAATGATAACTCTATTTTAAAACAGGACTATAAAAACTGGGATGTCAGATTAGGCTGTTGGTTAAGGATTGGTATCTCTTTCTGGGGTTTTCTCCCTTCTGTACCCAGGGTTCCTGTGATAGAAGCCACTCCATTAGCATAAAGTAAATTAGTTATGATTATTCAACCATAGGTTTCAATTTTCTAAAATTTGAAGGTTTGAAAATATTGAACTTCCTTAATCCTTTAGCCTCTCCACTGCTCACTACATACTTCTTGGAAGAGGACAGGCATCTTATCACCGGTTCAACTGATGGACAGGTTAGTGACTGAGGTACGCGGCAGCTCAAAAGGCTCAGACACTGAAATTCCACGAGCTGAAAGACAACTGTCTGTTTTAGGTGTGGTGCTTTTCTCTCAGTGACGACCACAAGTGTCACCTAGTGACCAAAATGGACCTTGAGAAGATGGAAAAACGACATCAAATGCACCGAGAGACTGTGAGCCATCAAGCAGGTGACGCGACATGAAACAGATAGTTCTTTAAACTAGTTGGAAAAGTTCACTCAGTTACTTTTATGCTACTTTTGGATGTTTTCTTCCAGGGTGTGTTTTAAAATTGTCTGCTGTGGAGACTTCAAAACCTGTTCTCAAAATGGCTTTATGTAGGCCTCTATCAGACATCAATGGTGACCAAGAAAAGTAAGTACAGCTTAGCTGGAATAGGTGCCTTGACCCTTATTATAACTTCCTTTAAACTGGTAAAACTACATAAACTAAACAGTGTGGATGAATGGATTAGTTCACAGAGTTGTAGATGTAGTTTACAATTAGTTTTCAATCATTAGTCACAAGAAAAAATTAGATCTAAGCCTTTCATTTACTCGTTTCCTCCCTCTCAGTGGATCATATTGTTTGATTTTAGCACAAGGAAGATCTGGTTCTCTTCATTTTTGACAGGGAATCTTAGTAAAGCACGACTGTCAGCTATATGTATTCTCAAGGGCTCTATTTTGTTTATTATTCCACAAAGTGCAAATGGTATGTCATCCAGGAGAATATTAGCAAAATGATTTAAAACACATATGTCAAATTTAAAAAAAAAGAAAGAAAAAAGCTGCACATTTTTGCCATTAACACAGTGTCACAAGCTCCTGGAAAAAAAGTCCTTATGACATGCCACATCCGTATGGACTAATTGCTGCACGTGTTCACACACTCACAGGAAACCTGAAGGAAACTTCACACGTTGCGGGAAACTGCAGTCTCGAAGCATAAAGTTTCAGACCGTTGAAACATATTGTTGCTGTGACAGGAGGCGGGCACTTGAAAAACACGCAGACACGACTAGATTTGTATGATTCCTAATTGCTGTAAGGAAAGCTTGTGATCTCAGTGCAGAGCTCAGCGACTTACTGACTTCACACTTTACTGTTAGAGTGAAATACAGAACAAGTGGAAGCAGAGTCAGTGTGTGATCATTTGAAGTCGTTGAAGTTTCTTTGCAAGCCACATATTCATTGTATAAGACAAAGTAATCATTTCTAGTCACTGTTAGCATCAGTGTTTAGACACTATTCAGACAGCACACATTTGAAATAATTGATTTACTACAGCAGTACAGTTTGGCACAACAGAGTTTGGCATCTGGACTTCCAGCTCATCATTCCCTGCGAGTATGTTTCTATAAATTTGGGTACTGATAAATAAATCTTGCTCTGGAGACTTGTGGATGTTGTGTTGGTGGAGGGGTTGAAGGAGCAGTGATGCTGACGTGTCAGAGTGAAAAGCAAAGCTTAAATATATAAATAAATTGGGACACTAGGGAACTAAAGCATGTTATGTATGTTTCTCACAGTGCAGCTTGATGTGCCAAACTAAAGTAGCTCACGGGCTTTGCTCAAGTAAGATTCCACATAGTAGTATGAAAATAATGATGCACAAAAATGTAAAACCTTCCAAATATAAATTGCCCACAAACTCAAAACCTCAACATGCAGCCCAGAGCAGGAAGTGGATAAAAGAGCAGAGCTCCTTTCTTCTCTGTGGTATTAGTTTCCAGTGTGCTGAATGTATATAGTTTAGACTGCATGAAGTCAAAGGTAACTTGAATCAAGGCCTATACTTTTATGGTGTACATGTCTTGCCACTTCATCACATCAATATGTTGATCTTTTGTGTCGTTTGTCTGACCCCAAATGAAAAATTCTTTTTGCGAGAAAACCCCTTAACATGGTTTTTCCATATGTTTCTGTTTGGGGGCCCTGCAGTGACAACAGCTGGTTTTGTATTGGAAGCTCTGATGGTCTGTATGTGGTTGATCTGGCTACGTCTGAACTGGTAACAGCGCTATATTTCAAAGGTAGGCTGCTGGGGACATGCCTTCTCCCATCTTTCTGTCTTTCTTTAAGAAACTCTGGTATGCCTCCAATAAAACATGTGTTTTCCCCTGAGAGATTCCACTGGTCATTTCTTTTTTGAATGTGATACCACATGATGATGAATATGATTTTTGTTCTTGTAGATTACCCTAAGCTGAGCATCACCATGGCTGGCTCATGGACCATCTCTCCAGGGTGTGATAACTCTGTGAGTATTTCCATTAAAATTGCCTTTTCAGCTTGACTTCTATCATTAATACAGTGTTGCTGGTATTGTTTTTAGTATAAAGAGATAAGATTTACTAGTTAGGATAGTGCGATATAATGTTTTTAATGTGTGTTTGTCTGCAAACTGATTTCATTGGTGTCACAACCATGTAACACGCAGTCACTGAACTTTTGAAGGTTCTAAGTAGAAATTAAAATAAAGTGCAGCAGTCTATTTGTAGACAGGCCAGAACAACATCATAGAAAAAAGTAGATTTCCATTTTGGATAATTGCCAAATATAATAAACTCTGTAGGAAATAAATGTAAACAGTTACACGTATTCTCAGCAGGAGAATATTAACAAATTAACTTTTATGATTGTTGGAGTGTAAATGCACCCACCACCTCTCCCCATGTCTGGCACTATATCTGGTATGTAAACATACAATATTTTTGAAAATGGCTGCAGCATTAAAACCGATCCCTAAACAGCTTTGCTTTGTTCTTTTCTTAAAACTTCTACTAAATAACCAAGTTTATGGTTCACCTATGGCTAACTTTTATGTAAAACAGTAGCAATTATTTAATGTTCTCTCAGTCTAACAGCTTAAAACACATGTTTATGTATATATTATTACTACAAGAATAGTGTTTTTTCTTTTATTAAAATTTTAATTGATTGAATTTATTTCCCACACAGATGCTGATGTTAGTGAGCTCTTTGTTTACCCCATGTGTGGTCATGTTGGAGGTGCGTCTATATGGCCTAGGAAGGCCCTTGGCTTGTGGCAAAGGATTTTCAGTGTTCCCAAGGTAAAGCTGGAGTTAAAATATTAGGTAGCGATACAATATTTTGATGATCTACAGTGACAAAACCTTTTTTTCCTACTCACTTCATCTTACTGATCAAAACCAAAATTCAAGTTTAATAGAACTTGATGAGGGACACTGTGGCCTTGTAGTGTAGCTACTTGAGGTCTAAAACTGTGTTTTGCTTTTTATTTTTATGGGTAATATAATAGTAAGCATTTCAGCTACTTGTTTTGTGAAAAATAAAAAAAAAAGATTAAAAAAAAAAGTCTACAAATGACAGACAAAATAAGTATTTTTTAACTATTTGAAATAAGCACAAAACTGCTCTGGCTAGTGAGTGATTGCACTTTATACGATTCTAAACTTTTAAATTTGCATACGTAAGCTAACAGTCACAATAAGATTACTTTTTAAATGCCAAAGGTTTTAAATTGTCCTCTGAGAAAGAAGGAACATTCATTCAGCCATTACCCGTAACTCCATAAATGATTACCTAGCAAAGTCCAGCAGCACCAATAAGGACTAATTTCATCAACGTAATGTGCTTTTTGTCTGCTTTAACAAATTTGCTATTTGTGAGCCAAAGCATAATCATTTGGGATAGTTACAACTTGCAAAAACAATGCCTTTATACAGTTTTGTTAGTCTGGTCATTTGAGCTTATATATGATTGTGGGCTGTTTTTTAAAGTTGGCCTCCTGCCTCTAATGCCCTCTGACTCTGACATTTCCATATTAACTTCCTCTATTACAAACATTCATGCCATCTGGTTTTTCATGAGTCAACAATATCATGGCATTGGAAATCAGAGGGGCTAATAATCCATAAGAGTGGAAAATGCTGTGCTCCTCCATTTCCAGTAACTCCCCCAGCCCTCCCCTCCACTTCACCCCTCTCTTGTTTTCAGTTCTCCTCCGCTGCCCAATTCTCCCCTCAATACTGAGCTAAAGAGGAAGGAGCCCAGCCATCCTAAAAAGAAAGGTCAGCATCCCCGAACACTCACCTCTCACTTATACTCATACACACAGAATAAAAAGAAAGCTACTACTATCTGAGGACCTTGAGCTTTAAAAATGTGACCCTTTTGTGGTTTATTTCACGACTGGCTCATTATCTGTTTTTTGTTTTTTTTGCTTGACCACATATAAAAGCCACTTTCAACAGCTCCCTTATTCACAAGGGCTTGCCACAGCAGGTAGCACCGCATATTTGATTCGTCAATTTTTTATTTGATTTTATTTAACAGGTCTTTCCTGATGCAATCTCGGGGGATTTGTTCCTCTTAAATTTTACTATTGGGTTAATAAAAGTCTGCTGGGCAATTTCAGGAGTTACTGAGAACATCTTCATTATCTGCAAACATTCACAATTTAAAGATTCCTTCCCCTCATTTTGTTGGGGTTTTATACGACTGTCTGTTTTCATAAACAGGTACTTCAGTTAGAGCAGCACATGCAGACTGATGGTTTCTTTTACATTAACCCATTTTTTTGACTGGCTGCTTCTTCCTGTTGTGGATTCATAGGTAAAGTGAGCCTGTTTGTGTTTCTCTGGTGGACCATTAGGATCACAGATAAAGTTTATGATTGGGATCTGGCGACTTAGAACTGTTCTCCTGGAGCGACCTACTAAATACTGACATTTACATACATACATCATACAGAGAGGTAGTGCTGAGAGGCAGTATTAGCTGTCTCCTCACAGCTGGAGTTGAGGAATTTGCCAGTGCCAGACTGTGCAGGGGGTGTACTGAAGAGTCTAGAAGTGCCGTGCGGCTGCACTGTCAGACCAAAAACCACAAACGTTTACACACTAACCCAGCATGCTGCTCTCCATGCATTCTGTTTTCGTAAAGTTATCTACACAATTGTATACAAATTATGCAATAAACCTCCAAGATCCTTGGAAATAGAATTGTTCTTCCATTGCATGTGTGCAAGACCACTGAAGGTCTCTTACACATGCACTAAAGACTCCTGGCTTTTTGAGATGATTATAATCAGCTGCTGTTACTTTTTGCATGATGTGTACTATAACCCCTGAGTGCTGTTGCTTGAATTAAGTCATTTTATAGAAAGGATTTCAGGGAACTAGTAAAACAGAAGGACTGAATAAATTGCGAGCAATGCACAACACACATTTTCCATAGAGTGATCAGATCAGTATCAGTCCGCATGAAAATACTGCAGATGTGAATCTGATTCATTTAGATTTCTCTGTCAGGGAGAATAGACAGCTTTACTGTTTGACCTGAGGTGTCACAAATTATTAAGAATAAAATGAAATAAAGAAACAAAGAAAGGCAGATGACATGGAGCACAATAGAGTTCCCTCCTTGAAGCACTAGAAGCCATTGGACCCTAAAATTCCCACTAAACTGCAGTGATCTACAGGATCTTCTATCACAGAATGAACAGAAAATAGTGCAAATAATGAACTGAAAATGATTGGACCCACTGTATGAGTTGTATTTCCCCATAAAACATTGTGATCCAAGCTATATTAATTGCCTCCACTGTTTTGAAGATGTAAAATCTTGGATGGCAGAGAAAAAAAAATTCTGTGAAACCAGATTAAAGAGAGATAGAGAAACTGAGGTTCTCAACGTCACCTTGGTCTATACCTAAATATGTGGGCATGTAGTTTTACAAGGTATAAATACAAAAGAACAGTTACCTTGATACAGACCACACACTGTGGCCTTACTTTAGCTTCATGTTTGCAATGTAGTTCTGTGACAGCTTACTAAGGTGCCTCTGATACTTTTAGTTCTACTCACATTGCTGTCTGCTACTGTCTGCTCTTCTCATCACAGGTCAGTACAGCTGTGACACAGCGAATGTAAAATGAGGTTGACTGATTGAGAACATGACTTGGTTGGCTAATTCTTATAAAACAAATAAACAAACAAAAGAGTATCGGATGTTTCAAAGGGGCTCTTCTATGTGCTTTTTTTTAAGTTCAGCTAGAATAGCCTTTATCTGTAGCAAGCCATTTTGGCTCCCTTTATGTAATTTTGTTTTTATTTGGCTTCCCTTCATTAACAACAGGTTGGTGGGTGGGTGGGCTTCTGTGCTCAGATCCAGAGATCTGTGCTACAAATGACCATATTAGGGATAAACAGAGACGAGCGTGGAACAACTATTAGATTCTGAGTGTTTACAGCCTGAAACCTGGATCATAGGGATTCCTTACATACACATATGCTGACCTCAGTGTTTGAATATTTGAATAATGTCCTATTTAGTAACTCAGGAGGTAAACAGGTAAACACCTGAGGAGAGCATACAGCTGTCTCACTTTGTGAGCAGAAAGTTTTGGGGTGTTGTAGCTGTTCCATCAGACAATGAACATGCTGATGTGCTGAACCAGACTAAAGGATTTGAATATTAAGAAACATCTTTGAATAATTTTTAGGCTAATTCATAATGAATGAAAACAAGCGCACAGCAAACTGCTGTGATTTTACGCACATATGACTTTCCTTGGAAATTTGTCTGAAACTCTCACTTTGCTTCAAATAACTGTCTACTGTAAAGTCAGCGTAAATTATGGGATTTTTACTGCCCCGTAAAACTAAAGCACCATTATATATCAGCAGGAGATCAATAGGGCCATTAAGCAATGCCAAGTGATTGCGTCTCCATTTAATTGGCCTAAAATGCTTACTTTTCAACATGTAATCTGTTCTGGAGCAGCAAAAGCTACTTAGTATGCCGTCTCACAACACATTGGAGGAGTGGAAGGTGGTTTTGCATGTAAGCCACCAGTCTCACAGAACTTAAAAGGACTAATGCTTTACCTAACATTTAAATACTACATAACTGTTGTGATACCAGGTGAATTATGCAATTCAGGTTTTGTACACTTAAACATGTTTAAACATACAGTTATGGTCAGAAGTTTCCATCCTCTCATCACTGGCACACTTTGGGCACCTTTGTACCATCATTTAAATGCTACAGTTTGCACATTGGATGGATGCTTCCAGCAGGATAAGCTTGGAGTTCACTGTACTCAAATCAACTCCACAGCCAACAGATCTCAATTGAATAGAGCACCTCTGGGATGTGGTGGGATGGGAGATTTGCTTTATTGATGTGCAGTGCAAAAATCTGCAGCAACTGTGTGATACTGTCATGTCAGCATGAACCAAAATCTCTAAAGAAGTTTTCCATAACCTTGTTGAATCTATATAGTCACAAATTAAGGCAGCTCTGAAGGCAAAAGAGGGTTAGGTCCAGTATCAGCAAGGTGTACCTAACGTGACCAGAGAGTGTGTACGTATATATACGCCTGGCCCTGGAGACTATATGACCTTTTCCTACTTCCCCTTTGTTTGACAGAAGAACAGTTTTTGGAAGTGCTTACAAATTTTAATGGCTGTGGAAAAAGTGAGCTCATAGTGAACCATCACCCTTCATGGCTTTATGGATACACTTAATGCTTACAGCATGGAGTGGTCACCCAGAAATCTTGAATCCTCCTTTTAAAATATGAAACTGCTTCACGATACTGGTAGATATATTGTCATTTTAGCAATATTAAAGAATCTTACCTCATCCTGCCACTTCACCATCTATTGATTCGTGTTTTAGAAATGCAGACATATATACTCGTTATAATACACACTTCTTCGCTGGTGTCCTAATGAGCATCTTATCTTTCAATGAAGGAGGTGTAAAGGACCAGCCTCTGGTTTTCCACTGTAAAGTGAAGTCATCTGGATATACTAGTGCCCCGAGGTATGATCACAGAATAACTTTTTGCCATATAGATAATCAGATTACAGTTTATTGGTCTGTCCAAAGTTTAAAGCACTTATTCGCTTAATTATTTTTTAATCTCATATTTCCTTTTTGTTAGGTAAAATATAGTTGCTATATGTATATATATTTTATTTGGTTGTTTGTATATGTTTTTTTTTAAATTTAGTTTATCCTCTTTTCAGGAGGATCATGTTTTCACCCAAAACAAATGTTCAAAAAAATTCTTCCTCTAGGAAAAAGGCTGATGGAAATACGTAAGCGACATAAGCTAATTTCATTTAAAAGACAGTGTTAATAAAATGTGAATAGTGAACATACTTTTGCCATTTAGAGGTTCCCTCCTTAAAGATTACCCAGCAGACGGTGTGGCACCGGCTATCCCGTGTGCTGATGTGAGCGTGAAGAAGCATGTTTCATGTCTTCAGTATTCAGGTAGGTTAATATGAGTAATTTTGTCTTTTTGTCTATTATTATTATGTGTTTTTAACTATTATTTAAACAGTTGAAATGCTAAAGGTTGAGGCTATAAGTCAGATTTGGGATTGTATTCGAAACACCTGCCAATGTCGAACCGTTAGTAGATCTAATAACTGTCGACTGCATGGAGTATTGTCCATCCTGTGCTGTAAGGGTGAAGTAAGGTAACAATAATTTATGAAAAATAGCTGGCAGTATATTAGAAACAGTTTCACTGTTGCTGTTTTCTCAAGATGAATGTTCCTCTTTCAAACACAACATTTCACAGTTGTGTCTTAAAGGCTGCTTTACTATTTTTGGCTGTAATAAATCAGCTGCGGACTGAAAAATCCTAATAAAACAATCCCGTGTTTCCTTGTCTCTCCCAAGGTGATGGAAAACAAATCCTGTGTGGTCTTGGAGACAGCACACTGTTACTGTACAAGTCCTGCCTTACTGGCGCTCCAGCTGTCTACATAGGTGTGCGATGCAGAGATGAGTACCTGTACTTTTGTTTGATATTTTTGTGTTTCTCATCAAAAGAGGGTTTTTTTTATGTTCGACATACAACTTCTTAACTGATTCAAATGATGCTAAGGTTGAAGAGTTGCCGGCACCTCACAGAGATAAGAAGTATGTTAATAATTATAAGTCTGCTCTTGGCTTGGATAACTCATTTGGGCTCTTCTGAATAACCTGGACCTACTCTGAAATGGATGCATGGCTTGACATGAGAGTTTTAAAGAAAATTCTAGTTAACTCACTAAGCTATCACTGTCAAAAACTAAACACTGAGCTCTCTGTTACCAGAATAGTGTGGTTTGCTTATGTTCCAGAGCAATAATTGTTGAAAGGCTCACATTCTCTCCTGAGACCTTTTAGGTTTAAACTAAGCATATGTCGCTATTATATACAGTGTGAAAGATTAAAGCATTTCTGAGACGAGTGGTCCCGGGCAGTAAAATTAACACTGACAGTGAAAGAAAGAATACCCCTGCATGTCAGGCATCACTCGATGGCTGAAGTGCAGCTGGATCACAGGTCTCCAGAAGGGGGCAGCAGAGATAAAAGGAGAGAAGCTGAGGTGACACGTAGGTCACCACAAGCATATTCTCTTCTGTCTGCCTGGCTCTCTTAGCAGTACCATAAAAGTAGATGTTGTAGCCACACTCTGTATTACCAGGTTACTAAAGTCATGCCTTCTTTTATCTAGGGCATGACAAGCCAATAAGCAGTTTGAGCTGGAGCCTTAGCAGACGGTGGTGGCTGAGTGCGTCAGAAGACCTGTCACTCCAAATCTGGACTCACTGTAACTCAGAGCCTGCCATTATCATGGTAAATCCCCAGTGAATGCGCATACACTTATACCAGTGTCTTATTTTTTTTTCTTACTTTCACTCCCTGTCACCTTAATCTCCCATCACAGCTACATGGCCTACTTTAAGCCTTTATGAAATTTCCCTCATTCCTTGGAAGTCCAAGTTCTAACCATAAAAACCAGTGTAATAAAGACCAGCCAGAGTGACCTCATATTGCAAAAATGTCCTCTCTCTGAAGGTCTAAAAAAAATTAAAATAGATGTAGAAGTTCAATAAAATGACTACAGATAACTAATAGATAGCTCCACACATTTGTCTTGTGTTTTCAAAGATCAGTGTGTTTGTTGGAAGGATTTTAGTCCCCTACAGATCTCTTTCTGTCATTCCGATGTGTTAATGGTTAGGTAAAATGTTCAAACTTTTTCCATTTCCATCTGTGGTTCATAAAATTCAGTCATAGCACACCTTTATAATAGGACAATTTCTGTGTAATGATCAGATTGTATCTTGGACATGTTTGTACAGAACTTGCTCAATTCAATGTTTCCACTGCTAATTAGAAAACTAATGGAATTTAAAAACAAGGAGGCCAACACAGAAAGCCAAATTAATGCAATTATGAAATAATGTGTTTCTTGGCGCAGTGATAGCACTTTTGCTATCGAAGCCTCAACTGAAGTTGGAGCATCCAAAACTCTGATCGTATGCAGACCCTCCTTACCTCACTGGGTATCATATTTAATGGGACACTCAGTTGCTCTGTCATGCCAAGTAAAAACAAGGGTCTGTCCTTAAGCTCCAAGGTCTCCCCATATCTGATGCTTATCATCCCTGCTTTGTTTCACTCAGTTAGACAGTTTGGCTGGGTCTACAGCCTTTGACTGCTTGGTATTTTTGTGAAACAACTTGGCAATGAATACAAGTCGTTTCAGGGACAAGGGCTATGTCTGGGTGAGCCAGGATCACAAACGGCTTCTGAGAGTTGTGTTGATGAGATGTGGTCTGGTATACTAGTATAAGTAAGACTGAAGTAAAAACTGAAGTAAAACTGAAGTCTTGCAAATGTTTCAATAATTAAATAAAAAAATACTATTAAGGCTGATTTTTGTCTCTGCTAGGGTGACAAAATGTTCTCCAAACCCATTAGAGGTGCTCAGTTTTATTATCTCGACAAATTTGTACTTCTGGCATCCGGGCCCTCTCTGTACCTGTACCTGTATAACCTGGACATCACACGCGATGACATAAAAAGGTAATTGCAAGTGATTCATACATGTAAATAGATACACAACAGTTTACCATGTGAACCTTATAAATGCTACGTAAACTATTGGTTTATGTATGTATTTTCTTCATTGGTCTTCAGCTGAATTCCTATATAATCTTTTTTGTCATGAAGCTGTATACACATGGATGTATTGTGAAGAAAGTGAAACAAATTCAAGCTGTTTTTTCTCCTTAGATATCATCAACGGAGTGTCAGCAAATTGGCTGGATGCTTTGCGACAACATCAGCAACAGACATCACCTCCTTGTCTGCGATCAATGATTTTTTCTCCCGTATCCTTCTTCCTGTTGTTACTGTTCGTACAGCAGAGGTGTTTCAGTTCAGACTGCACATACACAGACATTTCCCATGTCATCCACAGCAGTTTGTCTATGGTGTCTTTAGATGTTGCCCCAGGGCTTCCATTGTGGATTCTACCTGTGAATGAATGAGGTTTTCTGTAGTTTATTTAGGAATGTGAGGAATTTGAGGGTTTACAATGCATTTATTTTCCAATAAATCCACTAATAAGAGGTCCTCTCAGGAGCAGTTCTGCTCCACTTTAGTTCACTTTGCCCTACCATGTACAGAACAAAAAGAATATGCATATAGGGTGATGACATATGTAAATATGCAGATATACATATAATTGGAATTCAATCAAAATGTTTAGTTTATTTATTTTAGTTAATTTAAGAAAAGCAAAAAAATATTGTACTCATAAATTTGCATTGATAATGTATGGCTTACACTATATGTATTCCTTCTCATAAACTTAGAATCAGTCTATTAATAATACGAAAAAAGTAAGATACAGTAGGTTTTTTCAAACTATATACGACCATTTCACATTTGTACATGTGCATTTGCATCGTCTCTTTCTAATTATGTCTTCCTTCTTCTCCACCATTGCTCTCTCTTCTCCCTCATTTTCACCTCATCCTCTTCCTCCTCACCTCACCTTATCTCTTGAACCGAAGTCAGGGATCTAACACATGCAAAGATGCATAAACGTGCTTTTTTTATTCCCAGTATTTGTGCAATTAGTTATTGTCAGCAGATAAGACATGCGACCTTCCCATCTCAGCACAGCTGACAAGCCGGCTAAACAACAATAACAGCTGGTTGTTACAGCATTATGCCAGCAAACATTAGACTTGAGTGTCCTAAAAATCACACTTTCCCTCTGAACAGTTTGCTTACATTCGTGTAAGAGTTTATTCACTTAGTGTCTAAAAGTGTTTGATCTATTTTTAAGAAAGTTTCACTAACAGCAGCATTTATTAACAGAAAAGGTCAGGATATCCTCTTATCAGACTCTTTTCACAGAGTTTTACTGCTTCCTCCATAGTAAATAGACATGGACACATATTGACAGCTGAGGTAAACCGTGAACTGACAGCCAACACTCATTGCAGATGAATGGTAGCCACTGCTATTTGTCCCGAAGTGGCCACTTTAGCAAGGATTATGCACTTGAATTGGGAAGGGTAAGAAAACAGAAAACTGAAGTTTCATTTGCTAAATGAGAGCATTTAGACTCATAAGTGAAAATTGTCACGTATAACCAACAGCATTTGTGAGCTCTTTTTCTTAGTGAAATGGATCAGTTGCATAGACAGAGTAATGTTAATTTCTTGTGGAAACTGACCAGTCTGTCAGAAATAGCGACTTTGTAATGATAGCTGTGGGATGCAACAGGTTTAAATCATAAAATTGATTGGTCATATAAAATAATGGCAGCCTTCTTAGGTCAAAGTGTGTATGAAATATTTTGGATTTTTAAAACTGTTACAATATCTCATGAGATTTTAACACTGTTCTTTAGTAGGAGTGTCCGTGTACACCATAATAAGGCCTACAAGGCCTTCTTTTCATTTCTGTCTACTTACATAAAACAGCATGGAATGAATTAAGGTGTCTACAGGAAGGCAAACCATTGTATTCAGTTTTTGAATGAATACATCACATGGCCCTAAAAAGCTACCAAGGTTGTAAATGATAGAAAATAGTTGATTAAATATATGTTATTTTTGTTTGAGGTGCTGGTCCTCTGAGAAAAACGTTAAAACATTACTTAACAAGCTGTTTCAGACATTGTTTTGGTGTGTGGGTCAGATCGGTCTATTCAAGTATTTGACATGAACAAGGGCACAGTTGCCTCAGAGGTGCCTGATGCCCACAGCAGAGCCATCCACTGCATCACACAGAACAAGGTGAGGCGATTCGACTGTTCATGTGAAAAAAAAACTACCCTTGTTATGTATATGCATGTATTTGTCTTGTGTAATAGTAATTCCATTCGATTGTATCTTTGTCTAATACTATTATATATCATCTTGTTAATAGAATAGAATAGAATAGAATAGAATAGAATAGAATAGAATAGAATTCAACTTTATTGTCATTGCACATGCACAGGTACAGGGCAACGAAATGCAGTTAATCACTTAATACCCACCAGCTCACCAGTGAACCACTTAGCGGTAAAGTAATATTTTGTCCACATGCTAAACCAGAATTGTTTCAAAAACTGGAAGGTGTTGCTTTTTAAATCAAATCTCTTATATGTATTTGGAATTCTGTTAAAATATTTCCATTTGGGTATGCGGTATATTTGAAAATTCAATTTAAAGAAGTAGATGTGAACCCAACTTTATAACTTCCTGTATGATTATTTCAGCCTTTATGCATGATCGTTTGTAATTGGTCAGTCATCACAGTGTATATAAGCGACTAACAGTATGAAAGGACCTTTTGATACCCACTAGAGTCTTTAAGTGTGGAGTTTGTATGTTGTCCCTGTGAATGCATGGACCCTGTCCAGGAACTCCAGCTTCCTCCAATGTTTGTCTCCTTGTGGTGTACTGGTACGTCATCAAGGGTGTACCCCAACTCTCGCCCTGTGACACCTGGGAAACGCTCCAGGCTCTAAATCAAGTGCTTGAACAATTTATTTCCAATTGCTTCTCATTTTAGCAGATAATGTAAGATAATTTAAGACAAACAGCTTTAGGTGTAAGTGTTGTGTAAGTTTAAGTGTTTAAAAATGTCTAACCAGACAACCCAATCCAAAAAAAGGTTCATTCTGCTCATGTGGACGTAGCTTTTCCAGTTGGAGAAATATTTCGTCACTCATCCAAGTGACTTCCACAGTGTCAGTTGAGGTTCCCCCAACTTTATAAACAGTACATTTGCATAATCATTGACTCTAGCACAACTGACTAATAATGGGCTGACTGCAAATTGTCATGACCATTGGTCACATAAATGGCCTCCCTGACTCCCCGCTCAAACCAGCGTTCTTTTTGGGATGTCCTCACCTTAGATAATTGAGCATGATATCACAGATAGTAACAGATAGTCCACCATCTCCATTTCACACATGAACGCATGCCGACGTTGCAGTAAGTTGCCGTCACGTGCAGTGACAGCCGAGGGAGAGATATTTTATTCCAAGCAAACATGAAAATATTCACGGGGGAGCGTCTCCCCCTGCTGGTAATGCAACTTCTGCATGCGTGTCCATTTCACGCTTTGCCTAGCCAAAGCGTGAAATGGACACGGTGGACTGGCGTGTTAATTACACGTTTTGTCATGTTACTGGGTTGAACCAGATACTTATTCTTGATGGCATTACCTTGGCCCCCAGTAACGCTGTGAGGAATTCTGGAGTCATTTTTGACCATTTTTGTCCTTCAGTGTGTACGTTAAATAAATATGTACGACTACATTCACACAATATATCTAAAATTAGAAACATCCTGTCTTAGAGTGATGCTGAAAAATAGTTGATGCATTTATTACTTCATTGTTATCAGGGTGTCCTTAAAACCCCCTGAGAAAAGCCTTCAGTTGATCCAAAATTCTGCAGCAAGAGTACTGACAGAGATTAGAAAGAGACAGCATTTTTCTTCCATCCTGGCTTTTCTTAGAATCAAATTTCAGTTCCTTCTCCTCACATACGGGGTGTTGAATAATCAGGCCCCAGCTTATCTTAAAGACCTCATAGTACTGTATAACCCCAATAGAGCAGGCTTACTTTCAGGCTCCTCTTCTGTGGAAACAGCTCCTAATTTGGATTTGCAAAACAGACACCATCTCTACTTTTAAGATTAGACTTAAAACTTTCTTTTTTGATAAAGCATATAGTTAGTGCTGGATCAGGTGACCCTAAATTCTCCCTTAGTGCAATAGGCCTAGGCTGCTCTCTGTGTGCTTACACACCTCTGCATTTAATCTTTAGTTATTCATTTCTGGCTCTCTTCCACACTATGTCTTATGTCCCGTCTTCCTCCCCTCACCCCCAGCCTGTTGCAGCATATGGTTCCCCCTGCTTGAACTTGGTTCTGACGGAGTTTTCTTCTTTCCACAGTCGCAAAGTTTTTGCTCACAGGTGGTTGTTTGATGTTGAGGTTTTCTCTCTTGCATTGCAGGGTCTTTAGCTTACAGTATAAAGCACCTTGAGATGACTGTTGTGGTGATTTGGCACTATATAAATAAAAGTGAATTGAATTCAATCATTGCTTGGCCTAAAGGAACAGAACTCTTCACTAAAAAAGATTTTTCACCCTAAACCATAAACATTGCACTTATCCTGATAATGATAGTGTTCTTTAGTACAAATGTATTTTTTGAAAGGCACATATTTAAGTTTTTATGTTGCTGAGCGTTGTCAAATCTTTTTCACGTCTTTTCTCATTCATAGTCTGACTAAACCTAGCCTTAACCTCCAATCTTTGATAGAGGCAGAGACATCTCCTCAGTCCATACGCAGATTGGATGACGTTGAGATCAAACCCACAAAGCGAAGAATTTGCTTGACTTGGAACCGATTACTGGTGTGAGCCTCATCTTCCATTTTACCCTTGAAGGGGCTACTATTTGGCAGATGTAATAGTCTTACATAAGGCATCTATGAGTGTTTCGCAAGTTACGTAAGGCACAAGACACGGATCGTTTTTGAGGCAATAAAAGTGTTACGTTTGTGGTGTGAATGAAAAAGGTCATGGTTAAAAACAAAAATCATGGTTATACAAACATTTCCGTGACAGACAGACAGGACATGCCATCATCAGTATCATTCATCTTGAATGTTACTCTGTAGCGCAGGAGGATTAAGACTGCCATAGGGGATGGCAGGAGGATGATGCTGGATGATGGCCTTGGAGTAAAGCTGTTCCATGATGCAGTCTGGGTTTATGTGGCCTTACTTCCACATCACTGTCTTGAACCAATCTGGACTCAATTTGTTGGTGTCTAATAAGTAGACAGCTTGGGCCGGCGTCCACATCTATTATAGTGCTATGAAGAATATTGCATCACTCACAGTGAAACTATAAAATTCATTTATTTAAGTCTCATTTATTTATTCAGCTTATAGTTAGCATTTTTATTGCCTCGCATGTTACAGTGATATGGAGGGACTGGTATCTCTACATACAAGAGTCATAAGAATGCTTGCCAGCTTTGTAACAGCAACAAACCCATTAACTTTTATTATAAAAAATATATAAAAATAATTACCTATTGTACAGATGCTCATGTAACTTAGTAGATGCAGAAAAGTATATGTTTTGGTATGAAGGAGGCTTGTACCCACTGACCCTTAGATACTGACTTTGGTCACATTTACCTCAACTTGCTTTACACTCGGGCCAGCCTGGATTAGCTGGATACACTGCACCTTGTGGTATGGATGAAGTGCATTAAAGCATTCAACTGCAATTCACTCTTGCACACAGCTGACTTTATTCCTTCAGCCCAGAGGTGCTTGTTCTTTGTCACGCTAGCTATTGTGTGCATTACATTGCGGAAAGCCTGTGGTGTGTTGTTTTTAGCTTGGCTATTGATGTCACTGTGGGATTCTGGGGGCCTAAGGGGCCTTTGGGTGCCGTAGGATTAGTAGCATTGCTCCTGCTTGGAGTCTACACACATTTTTTCCCTTCACTATTGGTTCTCCTCCTGAGGCTCACCAAATATCAGGAACTGCATTTTGAAAAGCAGCTTTTCTTACTTGAAATTTCCATCGCCTTTTTGACAAAATTCACCTGGAACTCATCACAGCGCAGGACTTCTCGGAAAAAAAGAACTGGAAATGCCCTCTCAGGCTGCCGTTCTCACACTTTCAGTGGAAATCTAAACAATCCCCCCCACCGCTTCTTTCTCTCTCTAACTCTTTTTCTCTCCGGCTCTCCCTAAGCTTTTCTCTCTTACACATTTACCTATAGCATTCAATAAGTTGGTCTGAAAGAGCTGTGGGGAATAGATGGATAGATTTGTAGTGGAAGTTCTTTGCTTTTCTATTTAACTAAAAAACAGTGATGACACTAAGACACTCCCACCTAACCTCACTTTTGCTTCCGTTTTTTGTTTTTACAGCCCAGCATGATTTTTTTTAAAAATATCACCTTCTGTTTTGAAGTAGCATACATTATACTAATAGTATAGTAATAAAAAATTTAGGGAAAAAATGAAGATTTATATCCATTTTCAGGTAAAGCTTGTGCTGACTAAGCTGTTTTGTTCATTGTGTATCATTAAAGGGATCAGCTTTTAGCTCACAGGCTCCAGATTCATACAACCTCTTCCTGACCAGTGCTGTCACTGATGGTATGAAGATTTGGGACCTTCGAACACTTAGGTCTGTATTATTGTAACATATTCTGTGCAATTTGTATTGAATGTACTCGTAATATGATCATAAGGCAAGGAAAATGGTGCTTTATAATCTACTGTAGTCTCTTGCTTCTTAAAGGGAAATCATGTTCAAAACCTATTGTATCAGTAGCTAATGCATTTACAGTAATTGCTAATGCATTTACAGTAAATGCATTAGCAATTACTGTAAATGCTGTGAATGCTACTACAACAATCTTATGTAGTAAATGATTTACTACATAAGATTTCTTTTTGCAAAAGTTTTGAGCAAAGTATATAAAAGATCAAGTAACCCTGATGTCACAGATCAGTTTGTCGACTTCTGTTGTTTTTTTTTGTTTTGTTTTGTTTTTAACATTTTAGTTTTTTAAATTGGTAAGCATTGTAGCCGACTTTCTAGATGGTATTTCACGGGTGGATCACAATCTGATTGTACTTTTCGGCGTTCATATTTTCAACACCATGAGCACTGTTGTATCAGTAGCTAATGTTCTCATTGTTGTACCTCCTCTGTACACATTGACAACAATTTGAACTAAAAATGTCAAATTTGGAGTCATCAGTATGAAAGAATTCTTTTCAGATGCCTCTTCATCTTTTGTGCTGCACTTGTCTAGTTTCCACTGATGTTTTTTAAGGGCATACTGCACAACATGTACAGACATGCCAAGTTTTCAGCTAATTGCTCTGTTGGAATTACCTTGTTAGTGCAAAATACTATTTTAGATCTGCAAAATTCTTTTATCTTTAGCATTTTGATAAAGCCAGATAAAGAAATGGGAAGAAAATGTGTGTCTTTGCAACTGGCTGGTAGTAACAAAGTGCCAAAAGATAAAGATGAAGACACTCCTGGTCATCCCTTGATTTAGTGGCTTTTTTATGCTTAAATGATTCATAGGTAAAAGTTAAGTGGTTTAACAAACAAACAAAAACAAAAACATTCCTCTGAAGACAGTCAGGTACAAGCATTGGACTGAAGCCTGGATAACTCTTGCACAAGACTACTTTAAGAAAGGATTAGAATGTCTCCTTGTTAGCAAAATATAAGGAATTGAGGGCTAGCTCAAGATGTTCTCCTAATACTATACATTGAAGGAAGTGATAGTGATCAATATGCTTGGAAATTCTGAAAATGTCTTTTTCATTATGAAATTATTTTGCCAAAATTTGTAACATTCCTATTCAACCTTTATCACCTGTTGACAAACCTGGATGAAGGTTGGCTTCTGAGTCTAGTGTTATTTCACCAAATCCTCCAGATTCTCACAAGTCCAAGAACGTTAGGGAAGAAATCATTTTTATTACACTTCTTTTGTTGAGACTTTAAAGATGACCTTATATTTGACTAACTTCAACATTTTCTTACACAAACATTCCTCAGTGATTTGGATTTTTTTTTTCCTTTCTTCTTTTTTTTTTGGGCCGAGTTGAACGGCATTATTAATTATTTCATTCTTTCATGTCTGAAGCTGCTTCCATGTGTAACTCCTCTTCCGTCCCTCCATCAAATCTTAATGCTATCCGATAAATATTTGTGGCTCGTTTCTAGGTCAACCCCTCATTTTAAGAGGTTTTATCAAACATCCCTCAGTACGCAGAGTTCTTTGGAGGTGAAACATACGCATGGATGAAAACAATTAACGACTATTAACCACAAAACATGGCACCAGGCCACTAAATAAATATTTCAGTCTTGTTTACTGCTAATCAAAGTAATCAAATCAGTGTTAAAATTGTTTATCAAATATCTTTGCAGGGACCCAAAATTCAAGGTTTACTAAACTTGCGGGGACCAACAAGTCCCTTATGGGGACAAAATCTATCGCCCCATAAGTTTAAAGGCATTTTTGAGACTCAAAATGTGGTTTTAGTGTCAGGGATAGAATTAGGTTATGCGTTCGGAATAGGGTAAGGGTTAGGGCTTTGCATTCACTTTTAAAGGTTAGGTTTAATGTAAGTGGCTAGGGAAAGCATTTTGTCAATTAGATGTCCGCACAAGGATATGAAAACACGACTGTGTGCGTGTGTGTGTAAGTTTGATGAACTGACCCTTATATGTACCGGGACATTTCAGATATGTGACGCAAATGTTGTCTCTATCCCATGATAATTGTAATGGCGTTAAATTATTTCAAAGGAAATGCACAATAGTTAAAATGGAAATGTCTTTTCATCGAAAAATTTTATACGATGATGCACTGAATTTGTGCTGACAAGCAGAGAATAAGATTACTCAGGAACTCAATCAGACCAGGCATTTTCTTAGAAGGTGCTGATTAAATAAGTGGTCATGTTTCGTTTGACAGCTGCAGGATTGCCAGGACAGCTGTTGTCCATCAGCACGTGATGACCATGGCCACTTTGCCAAACAATTAGTTTAGTATACTGTATAGATCCACTATATTGGTTAAAGTACTTTTAAAGCCATAACCTTTCAGTCACCACTTGTATTTTGATATGTATGCAATGTTCCAGTTGAAGGGTGTACACACCAGCATTAAGCATGATTCAAAATCGATGACATGCTGATTCTAAAAATAGAGAACAGATGGTGATCTGCTTCTCTTTCCATAATTTAATCCGTCTGAATCTATGTGAAGAAATACATAAACAATGTATTTACATGAAGTAATATTAAGAAAAAGCCAGCTCTTATCTGATATGCTCTGGGGCAGTTAAATATTCTGAAATGTATTGGCAGAATATAATGAGCTAGGATTACCCTGCTGATTACCTTGATGATTACACCGAATACCCAAGTGGATTCAATAACTGTATTGGCTCTCACTCAAGAGGATCATACCCTCTGGTGTAGTGATCTGTAAAATGCCAGATAGTTATCACTTACACAACATAGAGTGTGTATGTGTGTAACTCATCTTCCCTTCTTCAGTCAAAACATTAGCTTCACGCTCTGGCCTAGAAAACCAGATGAGTGCTTACTGTGAACTGCTAAAGTGTTTTTTAAAGTGCATTAGTGACAATTTGTGTAAGCACTGTTGCAGCGCAGAAATGTTAAGATGTAGTAATGTTGCCCTAGAAAACAGAACAGGTAATAACTTCTATGTGCTACAGTATTTTTTTTTTCTTTCTTTCCAGAACTCTGAGAAAAAATTATTCTGAGATTAAAGTCAGGATTCTGAGAAAAAATAATTCAGAGGAAAAAGTCAGTCTGGAAAAGAAGAAAATAAAAACGTGACCACTTTTTTTCCCCCAGTGGCCCTAATCCTCTTTCATAATTTTCAGTGCATACATACAAAAATTGGTTTTGTTGCTAGGTTGTTGCTAGGCAACACTATATAGTTATAATGTATGATTTTAAAAATAGCTTTTGTGGATATAAATAAGACTTTATCGTCGTAAATTTAAATTGATAAAACACTTTTATATGGTGAAGATGCACCTGTAACCATTGCTGATATAGATAAGAACCTTCATGGGCCTAAAATGTACCTGCATGTCAAGTTTGGCTGCTAAACTCCTGATCTTGTAGGAGTTGATGAAAAATGAAGCAAACACAGACAGAAAGTTTGTGTATTATAAAAGAAAATAAGTTTTTTTGTGACGAAAAAGTTCATTATTTAAGAAATAACTGTTTGAAATCTTTCCAAACTCTGAAGAGCAAAACCTATGGACTGTCCCATCTTGTTGCCTCTGTTCTGTCATATGGCCTTTTTATTGAGGGCTACATGAGCAAATGTCATAGTCAGCTGACAATGTCGTCATCCTGAAAAAAAGAGATAATTAAGTAATCCCATTGAATACGAGAGAAGAGCAATGAAAGTAAGCATGCCATTAAACTGAATCAACAGTTTTCTGGCACAGTCTTAGCACCAGCTCAACATTATAAGTTCCATAAAGTTCTGGTACTGGGTATATCAGATTTCTTTATGGTCGGTGAATATGCCCTACTTTTAGCCCAACTTAATGACATTAGCATGTGAATGTCAAAGACATGCTCTCACCAGATGCTGTCAAAGGACTGGCCTGCCAGTATGCCAGCCCATATAGAGGCACTAGCTTAGTTACCTGTTAGTGGCATTGCAAAGACATTACATGCCTTTGCAAACCAAATGAAACAGCACAGAAGTTGCATGAGGGAAACATTTTTCATTAACGAAGTCTCTTTCCTGTGTTTTCCTTGAGTCATGCTCAACTCCCTGTGCTCAGCTGGTTCAGTTGTTTGTAAAGCAGTCCATGGAGTGCCGTTCTCCTTCTGTTCCATATATTTTGCACCTTCAGCTCAACGCTTCAGCATCGTAATGTGTGCACTGTGAAATAGCATGCATAGCAAAGATATCCCAGTTCCCAAACATTTATTTTAAGTTTACTAGACCCAGTAAAACCTTTTAGATTGCCTTATAACATACAAACTAATATAAAGGATCACTGGTCACGCATCAAGTCTGTCCGTCACATAAAGTTGTTTGAATTTATTAACATCAGTGATTTCTTACCACTGTGTGCTTCTTCTCACCAGGTGTGTACGGCGTTATGAGAACCATGTAAATCGCTGCCAGCCCTGCTCTTCAGCCGTTTCGCCATGTGGACGCTTCATTGCCACAGGCTCTGAGGATAACTGTGTAAGCAGTCTCACTGGGTCCATCAAAGCCACCTGTATACATTGCAAACAGATAAAAAAAAAATCATCATAGGGATTAAAACATTATAAAGTGAAACAGAAAAGTTTTGACCTTTTGCAATATCTAGGCTGTTCTTCATCTTGTTTTTTCCTATAAAAGTTCAATTCAGGTTTATTTATATTGCACCAACAACAGTTGCCTCAAGGTGCTTTATAATGTAAGGTAAAGATTGTACAATAACTGAAAACCCCACAAGTCAAACAACCCACTACAAGCATCCATTTGGCAACAGTGGGAAGGAAAAGCTCCCTTTTAACAGGAAGAAATGTCTGGCAGAACCAGGCTCAGGGATGGGCAGCCTGGTTGAGAGTGAGGTCAAAGTGTCAGACGGTTTGTTTGATTTATTTATTGATTGATAAAGTCTACATAGGTTATGCAGAACTAACGTAAAAAGCACTTAAAAGCAGAGTTGGCTTTCTGATGTCATCGGACACACTGATCAAGTGCATCTCATGTCCTTAAGAAACAGGAATAATCCAGCAAAGACCTGACACAGCACCTGAGAGATGGCCAAGTATTTTAGACATAATATAGACATAAAATAGATATACATGTCCTGGTTGTAAAACATTTATGTTACATGATCCTGCTTGGCGAAATGCCCATGGCACAGGTATTCAGAATGGCTTTTGGAGGAGTTGGTAGAAATGGAAATTTAAATTGTACCATTACAGGACACTACAGGTAAGATCACTCAAACTGGTGTTAAGAAGGAAAGCAAACCAAACACGTGACTTGTGCACTGTAGAACCAAGTGGTTCAGTTCGGGACAAAGAAAAAAAGCTATGGCCTTGGTTTGGCAAAATGTGATGGCTTCAACAAGACTGATTCTAAATCCACTAATTATATAATACCTCTACTCATCGCAAAACCACTGAGACCTACAAGATTAACTTTAAAAATTAATTCCCAAACCCTAACCTTTTCATATCTCCCAAGATGCCATATCTCCTCACCGCCTGCTCCCCCGATCCTCCTTCCTATAGATTCTCTTTCAGTCTCAGACTTGCTCGCATGGATGCCAGAGCTGTCTCACATGTGGCACCCTAGTTTTAGAGTTCTCTACCTGCTAATGTTTGGCTAATAAATGTTGTCACCCAAGTTAAAACTACAACATAACTGACCTTAGGAAGGTAAAAATAGCAGCAAAAATGATTAATATCTTTATCAGTTTTACCTCCATTTAAGGAAAGGACTGTTTGTGCTTGACTCAGAGATTTTTATTTGGATTCAACCCTTTTTCCAAAGAAGTCAACATTCATGTTGAAGCACAACTGTTTAATTGCTTTTCCAGAGCTTGCCTGACTTTCAAGACGTTTCCAGAAGACAGCCTCCCTTTTCCTTATCCATCTCTCTGTTCTTCTCGTATACGTGCTTGTTGAAAGCAGTGGAATAATATATGCATGCTGCTGATTCTTATTAATTATGGGGACTCAGCACAGCACAGACTTTTGCATCTCTGTTGAGATCGGTCATTTCCAGCGTTTCTTGGAAACCGGGAGAGTATACGGTAGTGAGCTACATCGTATTTATTTGTAGCTGCCTTGAGACTTATATGAGCCAGACACATTTGTACTTGTCTTAATATATCAAAAAGCAATCATGGAAAAAAAAAAGGAACCTGAATAGTCTAAAAAAGACTCCCTAGATCATATTACACATTTTCCAAAAAACCTAGCCCAAAAGTAACCGAAGTGGAATATCATTTTAGCATGGCTGATATTTAGCTTTTCCATATACAGATGAAATATGTATTATTTCTTATCATGAAACTGTGACTTAATTATCAATTTATTAATCAGAATATATGCTCAGTGATATAGTGCAAACCCTCCTGACCCTGGGCTCTGCTCCGTTTCAGTTACTATTGACATAAACTAATACATCATGTGATCCATGTGATATTAAAACATTCCTAAGATAACTTTTTTCTTCCATATACCTAAATCCCTTTCAGGCATCACACACTTCATAAGCCTTAGACAGGAGTCACTCTTTTGACAGGATTCAATTGAAGCAGGGTTTTTTTTTTCTTTTTTTCGGGGAAACATGATACAAAACAGCTGCAGGAATTTGATGAGTCTTCATCTTGTAGCAGACATCCCCACATCTGTTTTTATCTGTCCTTATGGCACTGAGGTTAATGCATTTTTCTAAAAACTTACTGATTATATTTAGAAAAAGCATACAATAACAAACTTTCTGTTCTAAGGTCTCAAATGAAACAGATGGAGACATTCAGTACGCTAACGATTTTTGGGGTTTTTCTTTTTTAAATCAACGAGAGGAAGTATAAAATCCACAACTCCCACAGGGGTGATTAACAATTCCTAACTACCTCAAAGCAAAATACACTAGTAACACGCAGTATCTGCAAGGCTTTGTTATAACTGATAATGGCAGCTTGATTTTGAGATGTTCACTATTTTGAGATCTGTCTGTGCAACAAACTTCAGTATGAGTATTTATGCTTTAACATTAAAATTTACACTTACACAGTTTTTAAAGCTGAAAATCAGCATCCAACACTCAGGTGTTTAAATTGACCTTCTTCATCACTGTTTACCATTATTTATATCACAGGTTATCCGAGCACTCAGGAATCAGGAAACTACTCAGTAAATATAAGAAGAAGCATAGGACATAAAAAGAATGCAAACCGTGTTTTGATAAATTACAGATTTTGTTAATTACTGAAAAACTGCTAAAATACCCTGTTTATTTACTCTATTGAACTTCAGTTATTTTGAGATTAGTCCAGCACAAAGGATGATTGACTTTGGCGTGACTTTTAGTGTCTGCTACATGTCTGATTTCTGGACAAGCTTTAATCGCTTTAATACTCCTGTTTACAAGAAATTTGGGCTTTGGACATTTACCCCTAGCAATCAATCTTGGCTGGACATTTTACTATATACATGCACTGTATATTAAATGTCATTTGTGTCTGGAAGTAGAAAAAAAGATAAACATTTACCCTTGAAGCTGAAATGATACTCAAGTTGATCTGCATTATCATCATGCTCGTCAGAACATAATTGTGTGTTGTAAGTACAATGGTACACACTAAGCTTCTGTATACATTCATTGTGTCCTTAATTGCAGGCCTATGTGTATGACATCCGTAGCAGCAACTATCTCCACAGATTACAAAACTACTCAGACACTGTGCTTAATGTGGCCTTCAACCCTGCTACACCACAGGTAAGACTCTGATTACTGTTTGTTTTTGTGCATAGATAAATATGCAATGATGTGCCTCAAAAAAATATCTTTGCTTCATATTCCAATGAAAACTGAATGATCTCCTCTGGGACAACTTATTAAGGTGTCTTTGTCTGTACTCACTGTGTAGTATAGTCAACACAATACTTTAAATGTGACAAATGATTTACTTGATGCCACCTATCAGTTTGTAGATTGAACTGAGTTTAACATTTTAGCAATATTCACCTTTTTTTTGTAGGGAGCTAACCCTAGCTAGGTTAGTGAGCAAGGTAGCCTATGTAACTATGCAGTCTATAGTGCGATATCTACAATACTATACAAAAATCTTGAGGTACTGTTCATTTCTTTACATTATGCTATGAAAATAAGAAATAGGTGCAGCATTTTCTTTTTTGAAACATGTGAATTCATGCAAGCCAAAAGTACAGATTCTATAATTCCAGTGATGAAAGTCAATTTTTGGTATGACAATCATTATTCTTCAACACATCTTGAACTCCTCTTTATGTAGTCTTCAGGAATAGTTCTCCAGGCTTCTTAAAAACATCCAAAGCTCTTCTTCTTTGGATGTTGGCTTCCTTTGATTCCGTAAAGATGGACGCAAACTGCTTCAATAATGTGGAGGTCCAAGCTCTGGGAAAGCCTATTCATGACTGAAAGTGTTCAATTGATGGTAATTCTCTACATCCATAATTCCATCAGTTTTGACAATATCCCTAATGCTACTGGCTGAAATCCAGCACCGAGCCATGACAGAGCCTTCTGTGTCTTACAGATGGCTGTACCTCTCTCTTTACCTCCTTCATACATAGAACAACAAATCATTGGGGTGCCAGTTTAGCTCAGTAAGTTCAGCAAGGCTAATGCAGAGGTCTGGTTTCAAATTTGCCCCAAGGCCATTTTATGCATTCTTCCCCTAGTCTTTCACTCAGCTTTCCTGTCTTTTCTGCACTTTCCTATCACAATAAAGGCTAAAAAGCCCCCATAAAAATATTGGATTTATCATTCCACAAGACCTGTTGGCACTGATTTTTAGTCCAGTTCTTTTGTAAGTTGGCATAACTCATCCTTTTCTCCCTGATTCTCTGTGACTGGTAGCAAAGTTTAAAACTGGTTCCAGTTAAATTGTCTGTGATGCATAGATACAGCACTGGTTCATCCCTTGAGTTTGGTATTTCTTTGCTTAAATGATTCATAGGCCTGTGTTAAGTTGCTTAACAAACAAAGAAAAAACATTCCTCTGGTGGTTAGGTTCAAGGGCTTTCAGGACTGAAGATGAATGAAAATGAGCCAACGAAAGACTACACACAGCAGGGAACCAAAACACTGCAGCCATCAGACCTAAATAAGCAAAAGCAAACAAGCTGGTTTCCGAGCTGGTTGATTGCTGTACACAATGTAACACATCAAGACAGATTGCTACAGGATCTTTTGTCATTCGTTTTTTTTATCTTTGCTTCCGGTAGCCACATTTTCATGTCTGATACATCTAAGTGTTCAGTCTGGATTCTAGTACCACACCGGAGACTGGAATTATTATAATGGCACTTCAGCCAGTTTTATTATTGGGGCTTCTCCCATTGAAGCGATCATAAGTCAGCAAAACTCTGAAACTAGAACTTCCTGATCCTGCACTTGTTTGACTAGGATAAATACCTTACAGAATCCAATCCTTGGAGCCAGGGCATAGGTGCATATGCATGCAGGAATCTTCAGATCATAGACACTGTGAGCTCTGTACTCAATAGCGTGAATCGTTTAATGCTAAGTTACATCACCCACGGTCAAAATGCCTCAGTAATGAAAAATCATGTGACCTGTGATATCTTTACTCACCTGTGACTCAAAGCTGCTTTCAATTAAAAAAAATTATTGAAAGGGTTTAGTTTGTGCTGTCATCCATCCATCTTCTTTTGCTAATGGTTAGGCTGGAGCTTATCAAAGCTATCACGGATCGAGATGCAGAGTACACCCTACCCAGGTTGCCAATCTGTTGCAGGGGTTGTTCTGTGATCTATGAATTATTAAAAGTTATCCACAAGGATTTAAAACTGTTTATCTTTGCCTGGCCTGCCATCAATCTAGAAGAAAACAATTCATGGAATGTGGGGAGTTGCACCAAAGAAAACAGAAAAGATATGTGTTTACTTTGAATTGCCATTACAGTGCTGCTTTATACCAACATGCTTTTAGTGACTAACAACATATATAGTGCCTTTTTAATAAAGCAACGCATTCCTTTGAAAATATCCAAAGCAAGAATACTTATAAAAAATAAATTCTAAAATATAGATTCTATGTTATAATATCACAGCCTTTGCTGAACATCTTTTAAGATTTGTTGACTGTGTTGTCAACTCAAGGCACATGTTTTAAATCTGCATGTCCATTTTTGTAACTCAATTCAGCGAAACTTTGGAGCACAATGATACATTCAGATTTCCCAGCTTGAAAGTGGAAAGCTTGGTTCATAGCCATTATCTGGCTGAAGTACAGTGATCTGCAGAGTTTGAAGACACACTTCATCAGTCAGGGCGTGCTTGCTCAACATTAGTACTTCTGTACATTTTGTTTTACTTGATGGGACAAATCAGAAATTCAGAAACAAGACATGTTGAATCAATAGACTTTATCTTACTTTCCACCACACGTGTCGGGTTGTAGATTGAAATAGTGATATATATCTTATCAGAAAGTAAATGTATATAATGTAATAATGATGAACATATACTCTAGTAGTACATTCTCACATTCATGTAACAGGCCTTTGCATACAGAATACATTATAAAAAATGAGGGTTTTGCTGTAAAAACCAGTACAGCCTTGCCACAAACTAGGTCAAACTAGGCTGAAAGTTGATATAAGAATTATGTTGATGTTAAGACGTACAGGCATCTAAATGTTTAGTTAGGTAATTTATCTGAGTCTTGTGGATTAGTCAAGTCATTTTTGCCTGTTTTGTTGAATTTTAGTGGACGTCACAAGTTTAGCTTACTGGTAAATTGTCCTCTGCATTTTGTCAACCAATTATCTGATTGCGGTTAGTACACAGCTGGGCACAGTTGCATGCATCCACCACAGATCGCTGTTCCCAAAATGATTTCAGGGTGGTTTGACAAAACCCGTTTAGGGAGGCAGTTTTGCTCAGTTGTCATTGGAGATGGGTCTGATGACATAAAAGCTCAGTAAATGTTATGATTCCATCCATAGCACTGGTATGACTTTATTTACTGGTTCTCTAATTTTTCCTCAGTTTCTCAAAAGTTCAGTAACTCCCTTTGTCCATAATTTTGCCAGATGTGATCATTAGCAAATCTTGTTTGCTTACTTGTGAAGCAGATAGATTATTTTAACCCTGCAGAAGTGCCTGTTTACCTGGTGCTAACTTATACTTTACTCAGATTATCTAGGTTTGTTTGCGTGTGTGGAATTGCGTGCTTACCTATCTGTGGTTTAATTTTTGTGAGCCAAAAGCAATAAGTCAAAAGTCATTTTAAGTTCAAGAAGTCCTGAGAAATGACCGGTTAGTTCTAAAGTTAACCATGTGATATATTGGAAATATGCTGTGCTCATGCTTTCTCCTAAGACAAAGTGCTGGCAAAAAATGTCCCTAACCTGTGTTCATCTTGCTGTTGATCTACATTTGAGGGCCAGATGTTCTCCATATTTACAGCTGTGAGAAACCTCTGATGGGAGACACAGACAGATAAGGCAATGCATATTTTCCACTCATTTATCACTCATGTTTTCCACCTGAATACTTAAAAGAGAATCAAGCAGACAGATCCACCTCAGGGTTTATTCCCTTAGGTTTATTCCTGTACTTTAGTCTGTAATTAGGGATTTTAGCTTTTATTGTCACTTCACAATGCTGTCTTATAAAATCGTGTGGGAGTTGCATTGTATGCAGCTGTAAATTTGTTTGCAATTTGTTTGCTTTCCCGTGTTGAACCTTTATGTGCTACTGTGTAAATTAGAGAAGGATTTTCACATGCAACAGGGGTGTTCTTGTCATTCCTTGCATATAATACAAAATAGGATGTTCTTTTTTTCTTTTTTGAGATTACAATTTAGTAGTGCCTTTAAACAAGGCAGTCATGCTACTGTATCCACAGGTACTTTTTCCATTGAATTTGGAATTTTGGATTCATATGTACAGAAAAATGCTTTAACCAGAAGTGAAGAAACAGGTTACTGGGTCAGATGAGGGGCACAGATTTCATGGCGCTGCACACTGTTTGGATTACTCATATTTCTGTACTGTGTCATCCTGACCTGCTGATAGCTTGACTATCAGCAGGTCAGGACTGCTGATAGCTTGACTATCAGCAGTTCACTTCAAAAGACGGTTCAGTATTGGTGTAGATGAGCTCTTCTAAGCATCTGTTGAACCAGTTGTTACTCTCTTTGTGAAAATATCCCTCTTCTTTGTCTAAAGAGCTTGGAAAGAAAATGGTTCATCTTCTTCAGTTTTTAGAACTGAAGAAGCTTCTCGGATGAGAGGTGAAACATCTTCAAGAAACTTAAAGAAGTCCAGACGCTTTTCTTTCCAAGCTCTTTAGACCACGATGACCTGGATGACTGAGAACCTTTACAGACATGTCCCTCTTCTTTCTGACACTTGATCTTTAAGTTAAGGACCTTGTTCGTCTAAACCTCAGTGAGTAATTTAGCAAACAAACTGAAGCCAGCTGATGCTTAAAGTGTTTTTGTTTGTGTTGCTTTTTGGCCTACTGATGCCTTATCAGTAATTTGGTTTAGCACATTGGAATTTTTTTCCTATAAAAGTTGTTAGTATCAGTTGTAGATAATTTTGTTTCTGTAGACATAAAGTTTTCATTTTAATTGCGAAAATTAAAGTTCCCTTATAGTCCCCAGTCCCCCCTTCAGAAGGCATGTCAGTGGGTTTAGGGAGGTCCTAAAAGTATTCCCTGACTGCCTGACTATATCCTCAGTTGAATTCAGCAGCACCACA